TATATTTGTTATTGATTTAATTATTGTTCTTCTGGTTCGGCTCTAGTACTCCAGACAACCCTAATTTTTTAATTCTAATTCTAGATTAGTAACTTGTTTCTAAGCCTAGATAGTGCTTAGTTGTTCTGTGTTCTTCATAAGATAATTCATAAATGTTAAGAGTTCACTTTTGTTTTTACTTATTATCTTGAAATTCATCTCACATCCATTCTAATATTGCACATGTTTCTACTGCGTTTAGGATTTGTGATTTTTTTTTTGTGATTTTTATTTAGATGAATTCTTTTGTTGTTTTTTTGCTGAAAATTGTGCCTCATTCATAACAAACTAGATTCAGTCAAGCATTAAAATCTTTATTCTTTCCAACCAGTTTCAAGTATAGTCTCATTTCTTGATGGAATTTTTCTTTTTGTGCAGCAATAATTTATAATCTTCATAATTTTGTTTCGTTTTATCTACAAAACAACAATTTAGAATACAAACTTTTTGTTGATGTTGTAAGTAATTGATGTAAAAAGATACTGTCTGACGTAGAGGTTCATTATAACAACTCTAAATTTCCAAGAAACAAACTTAATGGAAAAGGTTGTACAAATTAAACAGTGTCATGACAAGGATTTAAATATTCTACACAAAAAAACAATCGATTTAGAAAATAGATCTCGTCGAAATAATCTACGAATAGATGGAGTTGAAGAAAAACCTAACGAAACTTGGAGCGACTGTGAAAATACAGTAAAAAATATCTTCAAAAAACAACTGAAAATTGATGGAGAAGTGATTGTTGAAAGAGCTCATCGTGTTGGCAAATCAAGGGATAGTAAACTACCAAGAACAATAGTTTTGAAGCTTTTAAATTACAAAGACAAAAACAAAATTTTAAACGCCGTGAAAAACTTGCGTGGAACAGGTGTATATATTAATGAAGATTTTGCAAAAGAAACGATTGAGATTCGTAAAAAGCTATGGGAAGAAGTAAAAAGATTACGCAGTGAAGGCAAGTATGCTATTATAAAATATGATAGAATTTTTTACAGGGAATTTAGAAGCCCAAACATTAAGTTTTAAAAAGAAATTTTTCTAAAAATAAATGCCCCTTAAAAAAAAAAAAAAAAAAAAGCATGGCTGGGACTAGTGATTTTGAATCCATAAAATTCAACTTTTCTGAAATAAATAATAATGAAAAAGTAAAACCCGATATAAATAATTTACACGACACGCTTATGGATTGCTCATATCACTATCCGAGCGAATTAGAAGGGTTTCTTTTTAAAAATGTTTGCGATAAAAGTTTTAGAATTCTCCACGTAAACATACGAAGCCTTAATAATAATTTTGAAAAACTTCTCAGTTTGTTAGAGGAAACAAAAGACTGTTTTAATATAATTTGTTTGACTGAAACGTGGATTTCGAATGATTTAAATAATTCTTCAAACTTTTATATTCCTCATTTCAAATTAATTTCACTCCATAGGCAAGTAAATAAACGCGGCGGAGGAGTTCTTATATATATAAACGAAAACATTGTTTATTATGTTAGGAATGATTTAAGTGTATCTGATGGCGATAAAGAAATTTTAACTATTGAAATTATAAACAATAAATCAAATAACATATTGTTAAGCTGTTGTTATCGACCACCTGACGGCGTGAGTGAGAACTTGAGCATTTTTTTTGAACAAAGTATTTTTAAAAAAGGTATTAAAAAAAAAAAAAAAAATTTTATTATTGGGGACCTAAATATGAATTGTTTTCTATTCAATAAAGATAATAAAGTCAAAAACTTTTACGATTCTTTTTTCGAAACTGGAGCAATCCCGTTGATTAATCGTCCAACAAGAGTAACAAAAAACTCAGCGTCTTTGATTGATAATATAATTACAACAGATATATCTGATAATGATATCCAAACCGGTATCCTAAAATCGGATATATCTGACCATTTTCCATTATTTTTGTTGCTTAAATCAAACTCTGAAAAAATAACCAAATCAAATAAAATTAAAATACGCACTTTTAACGAAACCAATATAAAACAATTTAAAAGCCAATTATCACTCCTACACTAGAAGCATATTAACTTTAATGATAATGCAGACAAAATTTACAATAAATTTTTTGAAACATTTTATTCTGTGTATGACGCTAATTTCCCTATCATTGTAAAAACTCTAAATCCAAAAAATATAAACAACCCATGGGTGACCAGGGGATTTAAAAAATCATCAAAAATAAAACAGAAGCTTTATATAAAATATCTTAAAACAAAATCATCTGCAAATGAAAAAATATATAAAGAATACAAATACCTATTTGAAAAAGTTCGTAAAAACTTGAAAAAAAATTACTACTCAAGACTCATAGATAAATTTAAAAATAATTCAAAACGCACTTGGCAAATAATGAATGAAATTAGTGGTAGACAAAAAAAATGCTCAGGTTCCCTCCCCCAAACGATTGTAGTTGATAACAAACATATATGCGAATCAAGAGCTATAGCTCATGAATTTAATAAATTCTTTGTTGACATCGGTCCCAAACTAGCAAAAAAAATTCCTTATACAAATGCTACATTTAGAGATTTTTTAGTCCAAATGGATAACTGCACTAGTTCCAACGAATTATCTTCTGAACTATCTTTACAAGAGTTTGAAAAAGCTTTCAAAACTCTTAAAAAAAATAAATCAACCGGAGCAGATGATATAAACGGTAATATAGTCATGGAATGTTTTGAATACCTAAAAGATATCCTATTTAAAGTATATGGAGCATCTATACGCCAAGGAGTTTTTCCAGAACAACTAAAAATTGCTAAAGTTACTCCAATTTTAAAAGAAGGTGATCAAACAATTATCAGTAATTATCGCCCTATCTCTGTCCTCTCCACATTTTCAAAAATACTAGAACGTATTATGTACAATAGATTATACAATTATCTTCATTCTAATAATTTTTATACAACTATCAATTCGGCTTTAAAAAAAATAATTCCACAGAACATGCAGTTATCCAATTTGTTCGTGAAATCTCTAATTCTTTTGAAAATTGTAAATATACATTAGGTGTTTTCATCGACCTTTCGAAAGCATTCGATACTGTCGATCACGAAATTTTACTACAAAAGCTAAAATATTATAGAATAAATTGCAAAGTTATAAAATGGTTCAAAAGTTATCTATCCAACCGTAAACAATTTGTTTTCAGCAATAATGATCATCCAAATAAATTTTTAAATATTTCATGTGGCGTTCCACAAGGTTCCATTTTGGGACCACTTTTGTTCTTGATTTATATAAATGATCTAAATAAAGCCTCAAATTTAATGAGTATCATGTTTGCTGATGATACTAACTTATTCTTTTCCAATAATGACATTTGCAAACTCTTTTATACTATGAATAATGAACTTAAAAGTATATCCAAATGGTTTAAATGCAACAAACTAACTCTTAATATTAAAAAAACAAATTGGGTTCTTTTCCACCCAGTCTCTAAAAAAGCTTATTTACCCCAAAGTTTGCCTAAAATTTTTATTGATGATGTTGAAATAAAAAGACATAATGTAACAAAGTTTCTAGGTGTTTTTCTTGATGAAAACATAACATGGAAAAAGCATATAGACTATATTGGTACAAAAATTTCTAAAAAAATTTCTAAAAAAAAAGTTAAAATGCCTTTATCGCCGTCAGAAACATGCGATCCGTTTAATAAATTTTGCGGATCGATACACTCACTCCAAACCCTTTTTTATTGAAATGAAAGTTCTCAATATTTATGAGCTTAATGTTTTTAATGTTTTGTGCTTTATGTATATGTGGAAAAACGACATATCTTTACCCATTTTCAAAGATCTCTTTTGTTTGAAGCCAATAAATAAATATACACTTAGAAACAATAATTTTATATATGAGCCCTTTTGTCGAACCAGTTTTAATCAGTTTTGCATTGCATATCGTGCACCTTATCTTTGGAATAAAATTGTTTTGTCCAATTTTAACATGCATTTTACTTTTCCCATTTTTAAATATAAACTGAAAAATTTAATTATCTTAATGGATGATGTAGTCAGATTTTTTTAACTTTATATTTTCCTTAGAACTTTTATTGTTTATTACGTTTTATTTGTTGATTATGTTTTGATGTAGTTTATATACACACGTTTGTAAAAGGTTCTGATGATAAGATCAGTACGATCTTCTTTCAGAAACCTTGTTTGTGTTTGTGAAAGTAATTTATTTACTACGACAACAAATGTAAACTTAAAAAAAAAAAAAAAAAAAAAAAAAAAAAAAAAAAAAAAAAAAATTATTTTCAGATTACTAAAGCTCGTATTTTTATCTGAGAAGTTAGGTTTAGAAACTTTTGGAAAATATTTAATAATATTGGTAAAAAAAGAGGGGTTCCGTGTAAAAACCCGTTGTAAAGTTCATCTGCGAAGGTTGCCTCTTTCTTCTACTTGTCATACTTTTACTCTTTTTAACACCATTGTTTACCACTATAAATATCTTAGTCGTCCTTGTACCACTATAAATATCTTAAGTGTCATATTCAAGCACGTTATTCTAATAAAGCCCTATTTCTTTTTAAAAATACTCCGCAAATGTATTTTTAGGCAAAAGTCACATGACGCAATCTTTTAGGTTAGGAGTACACGTAGTTGCATTAAACCATAATTGAAACAAATTTTGATTCTAAAGTAATTTGTTTCTAAAAACCCGTAGCGAGGGAACATATCTTCTTAAAAATAATACCAGAAACTAAAATAATTTAAAACTGTCATTTGAATATGCAAGTATTTTAATTATGGCAACAATGATTGTTATTATCTATGATGTTGAATATGATAATGATTTTAAAGACAATGATGTTGATAAAGATATTGATGATTATTGATAAACGCTCTAAAAGAAAAGTTGTTTTTAAACAAGTCAAAATTTTGTAAAAATTAAATTTTTTTGTTTAATATCAAATATAATAGTTGTTTATAAAACTACATTTAGAATCACTTGGAAACTTGCGAATCTCTACCACTTTATTGTGTAAATCAATGTGGCATGAAAATTTTGCGTAAAGAGGTTTGATTAATAATCGAAGAAACAGTTTGGTATAAAAAAATATTTTGTTACATTTGGCAAGTAAATTATTTTTCAAATCTATTCATAGATGTCATCTCATATCACTGATAGCTGCGCTAATACAGTTATTCCTTGTCAATACTTTTACGTTGGATGTAATTTCAAGGTAAGAAATTAAGTAATTAGAATATAAAAAAAATTTAGAACATCAAACAAAGAACTAGCAAAAAGTATCAAACAAAGAATTAGCAAAATATCACGGTGACAAACTTAAACGCTCCCTAACCTTAACTTTGAGCAATACAATACTTTGAGCAATACTTCTAGAATTAAAATTTATTAAAATCTATTAATCTATCTAAAATATCTATTAAAATTAATTTTACAGTAATTCACATAAATATAAGAAGCATAAATAAAAATTTTGACAAACTTAAGCACTTCCTAATTGATTGTAATTACTTATTTAGTATGATTTGTCTAACAGAAACTTGGTGTTCTGACGAATCAATCCAAAATAACAATAACTTTCAAATTCCCAATTATAAATTAATATCTTCTGAAAGAAAAACATGCAAAAAAAGAGGAGGAATTGCAACTTATGTTCGGAATGATCAAGCAATAAAAGTAAGAAAAGACCACTCCATTTCTAATGCCGATAGGTCTTTACAATAGAAATCATAAACTCCAAGTTTAAAAATACTATTGTTTCTACCTATTATAGACCACCTGAAGGTAATATTAAAACTTTTTCTAAATATCTAGAAGAAATTTTTCTCAAAATTAATAAAGAACAAAAAAAAGTTATTCTGTATTGGGGACCCCAACATAGATTGTTTAAAATACAATGAGTTTCCGATTACTAAATTATTTTTTGATAACATGTTTCAACATTGTATTTTACCAATTATTAATAAACCGATACGGGTAACCTTAAATTCTATTTCTGCCATAGATAACATACTAACAAACTCATTTCTAGATACCTCCTTAAAAGCAGGAATAGTAAAAATTGATATAACAGATCATTTTCCAATTTACTTTACAATAAAAAATAATACAAGAGTAAATAATAATTTGAAAAAAATAACTTATAAAAGAAAAATAAATAAATTTTCAATTCAAAATTTTAAAGACACACTATCGGCAGTAGATTGGGTTAAAGTGTATCAAGAATGTAACCTTGGGAACACAAACTCTGCATATAATACTTTTACAGATATTTTTCTAAAGCACTACAATAATCATTTTCCAATCAAAGAAAAAGAAATCAAAGTAAAATATTTGAGCTGTCCATGGATCACCAGCGGTATTAAAAAATCTTCAAAAACAAAACAAAAACTATACGTTAAATATTTGAAAAACAGAAATGAGATTAACCTATCTACTTATAAACAGTACAAAAATCTTTTCGAAAAAATCAAAAAACATTCTAAAAAAATTTACTACTCTAAATTACTTAAAAAAAAAAATGGAGACATGAAAAAAACATGGAACATTATGAAAGAAATAATCGGGAAAAAAAACAAAAAAACAAATAGTTTACCAGATAGAATCATTATAAATGAAACCGAACACGATGATAAGAACTCAATTGCCGAACACTTCAACAATTTCTTTGCAAACATAGGCCCAAACATGGCGTCTGAAATTTTAACTACAAATGACTCCTTTGAAAACTACCTTACAGATCTAAATAGCGAACTAATTTTTAATGGACTAAGCTATGAAGAACTTGAAAATGCAAATAACTCTTTAAAAATCAACAAAGCACCAGGAATTGATGAAATTTGTAGCAATGTTGTAATAAATATCTTTCCGATAATAAAAAAACCCCTCTTCGAAATAATTAAATCTTCAATTATAACAGGAACCGTTCCAGAAAAATTAAAAATTGCAAAAATTGTACCTATATATAAAACTGGAGAACCATATTTACTAAACAACTATAGACCAATCTCAATTTTTCCTGTATTCTCAAAACTTCTCGAACGAATAATTTATAATAAACTGTACATATATTTAACAAACAATAACATCTTAAATAAAAAACATTTTGGATTTCAAAAACAACATGCAACCGAACATGCAATCATAGATCTTGTAAATAGCATCAACTACTCATTTAATAATAATGAATTTGTTCTAGGAATCTTTATAGATCTATCAAAAGCATTCGATACTGTTGATCATGAAATCCTGCTCAAAAAATAGAAAAATATGGCGTAAAAAATGTTGCATTACTCTGGTTTAAAAACTTTTTGCTAAACAGACAACAATGTTTAAATACTGATGAAAATATCTGTTCAAAAATGCTAAAGATCAAATATGGCGTTCCCCAAGGTTCCATTCTAGCTCCCTTACTGTTTTTAATATACATTAATGATCTTCCGAAAGCCTCAAACAAGCTTGATGTCATAATGTTTGCAGATGACACTAATTTATTTTACTCATCCCGTCAATTACAGAACTTTTTGAAACAACGAATATTGAACTCGAAAAACTTAATAATTGGCTAAAATCTAATAAACTATCTTTAAACACAGAAAAAACTAATTACATCTTATTCCATCCAAATCAAAAAAGAAAAAAACTACCAAATATATTACCATTGCTAAGAATAAAAAACAAAAACATCGAAAGAACCACAACAACTAAATTCCTAGGTTTACTTATTGATCAAAATATTTCATGGAAAGCCCATATTGACTAATTAAATACTAAAATAACTAAAAACATTGGCGTGCTATACAAAGCTAGGCCAATGTTATCCCAAGAAAATCTAAAACATCTTTATTTTTCATTTATACATACCTATTATACATATGGTAATATAGCATGGGCCAGTACCCATAAATCTAATTTAAAATCACTTTATCAACATCAAAAACATGCCATTAGAATTGTCTATAAAAAAGATAAACTCACTCATGCTGAACCTTTGTTTAAACTCCTATATGCACTAAACGTCTATAGAATTAATATTTACCAAAACTTACTCTTCATGCTAAAATTTAAACTCGGGCTTGTCCCACCACATTTCTTAAATGAATTTTTTAAAAGCAATAAAAATAGATATGACGCAGAGAAGTAGGAAACTTTAATGTACCATTCAGAAAAACAAAACTGTCGCGTTTCACAATTTTGTTTTGCGGTCCCTATCTTTATAATAAACTGATATCCAAAAATGCCATTATTACAAAATTAGATAACATAAATTGTTTGAAAATCTTACTAAAAAAGTTTGTTTTAAATATCAGCAATTATTTAACTTTAACTAAACTAAAACTGAAAGTAAAACCAAAATTATAATTGAAAACAAAATCCAAAAAACTTCAATAATATATATTAATATAAAAAATCAATATAAGTCAATAATAATTAAATTTATGCCTAATTTTTGTGTGTAATATTTATGTGTATTATGTGTACTACAAACAGTATTTACCAACTTTTTATTTCTACATTTTATTATATGTGAACCTAATATAAAATGAAGTATTTTGTGAAACTTGATACATTGTAAAACGAAAATACAAAAAATATTACAAGTACAAGCGGTTTCTTGATGACAAGACCATCTGGTCTTCTGCAAGTTTCCCGCGTTCTTTTAATATTAATGATACCCTACAATCATATTTTTTGTATTCTATAAAATTGTGATATATTTTTAGTTTTATATATTTTAAAAACATTATAACTTTGTACCAATCATGTAGAATCACAAAAATATAAAGATAAAAGAACAAAAAAAAAAAAAAAAAAAAAAAAAAAAAAAAAAAATTAGGTACCGTAAAGAGTGTTATATTGTTTTTTCTTGAAAAATAAAATTTTTTTATTATTCATTGATAAAAGGTTTTATTTTAAAAAAGCTGTTTTGATATAAAAAAGCAATTCCTTTTTATCTAATATTTTCCTTTTCTTAGATAGAAAAGGAAAATATTAATTAAATAAAATATATACTAAAAATATTTCAAAATAAAATTAAATAAAATATATACTAAAAATATTTCAAAATAATACTTAGCGTATTATTTTGAAATATTTTTAGTATATATTTTATTTTGATAACTTTTATTAATTAAAATCAAAAAATTCAAAAAAGAAGATAGGAACAGCCGAGTGAAAATTTTTTTCATAAAAAAGTTCTTTACCAGAAACTGATTAGGGGAGACCGGGGTTGGTTGCAACAGGGGTAAGATGCAACAATGCGTTTTAAAGAATAATTTTTACATATTATTTTTCAATTTTTTTACATTATATAACTATAATTATGACACGCAAGTTATAAAAAACTTATAGTAATAAACTTAAAAATTTAAAAGTTATTGATAATTGTTTTTTTTCTATATAAATTTCTAATTTTCGTTTCAATGTTTTTTTGGGTTTTACAAAAAACTAAGAAGTATATGACAATAATAAAATAATAGTAAGTTAAAAAAATCTTTTTCAAACACAAAAAGTAAAAAAAAATAGATTTTTTTAATATGGCTAATTGTATGCATTGATTAGAGTGATCATGATGCCTACGGGGTAAGTTGCATCAAATTGCTCGGGGTAAGTTGAATCACAAAAGAACTGCGGACTTTATTAATTTTACGCACTTTTCTAAATAATCGACTTTTTTTTAATAACAAGACAGCAAAGAAGTTTTTGAAAAAAAATTATAATTTTAAAGATAAGACTATGTAACGTACATATGTATGTTATATTTATAAAGCATATGTATATATGTCTAATAATATAAAAGATAAGTTTATATTCTATGTTTATATTTATATTCGAGGATTATATAATCCTCGAATATAAATATAAACATAGAATATAAACTTATCTTTTATATTCAAAGACATATATATATATATATATATATATATATATATATATATATATATATATATATATATATATATATATATATATATATATATATATATACATACATATATATATATACATATATATATATATATATATATATATATATATATATATATACAGTGTGTATATATATATATATACAGTGTGTATATATATATACAGTGTGTATATATATATATATATACAGTATATATATATATATATATATATATATATACAATGTATATATATATATATATATATATATATATATATATATATATATATATATATATATATATATAT